TTTTTTTTTTTCGTTTTTTTTTTCTTTCGGTTGGTCTCGCCGAAACAGTTCTAGAACCGGTCTCCCTTTTCCCTACCGACAGAAACTCCAACATCTACAGCATTCTCCCCCATTCGCCGGAAGGCCCCCTGTACAGAGATGAGACCTTTCGTCCAACACAACGTCTAGACCTGAGTGATGGCGAGAGTGGCGAAGGAGGCTTTTCGAGTACGAAATAGAGCGGCAATGAAACCGATCCTACTCTGAACTACTCAAACAAGAATTATACGAAAATTGTGTGAGGGAGCACCTTGCTCGTGTTGGAGGAATGAAGGTCGCTGGCCTGCCTCTTGTTCCTCTCCGCCTCCTCTAACCTCTGCCGCAACCCTTCCGCCACCCGTTGCTGCACGCCCAAATCTGCCTGTGTGGTCATGAAGGACGGAAACCAACACGAAATCAATACAGGTAGCAACGAGAGCAACACAGAGTGCAAGATATCGTCAACGACAGCAGCAACAAGCATGACCCACTTCACCAGTGACGTCAACATCGATGTCAACGGCAGTGACGCAACGACAACAACGGCAGCAACATCCTCAGCTATCACAACAGCAACGACAATGAGGTTGATACAAAGAAGAATGGCGACAATTAGCGACAAACAATAACAACACCCATTGCTCATATGCGCCCCAAGTACCTGTAGCTTGGACGCCTTTCCCTCGCTGTTGCGCGCAGAGTTTCTCGACTTCTCCAGCTCTTCACCCGCCGCCGCCAGCTCGCGCCCGAAGTCCCTCAGCTCTGCCGTCGACCGTAGGCGAAGCTCCTCCAGGGACGCCAGGTACTCGCGGGACTGCGCTTCTTTTGATTCCGTTATCTGCATGTGTAGCGCAAACAAATGCAAGGCACAATGCAAGCCAGTAAGTCCAACAACATGCAACACGGAGAGATGAACTACGGATGAAAGACGCCGCAATGGCGAACTACTGACGGAGAGACAAAGTATGAAGAAGGAAGGAGAAAGAGAAGTAGCAAGAAAAACGAGAGAGAGGAAAAGCGGAGGGACTTCTTCAAGACTATGTGGGGGCCGGCAGTCATGGCGGAAGAGAGTATCACCCTTTTTCGTCCTCTTGGGTGGCTGGGGGGTTATGGGGGCACGCAGGTGAGTGGTAGGCAAAGTAGTGATGTCAATGTGAGTGCTTGTTCACAACTGTTGCTACGTCTGTGTAGGGTTTCATCACCTCTCAATAGAACGACTTTTCGCCGCTTACAAGCGTCCTCATGGTGATACTTGCGAAGATGAGAAAACACAGAGAAAGAGGGCGTTATCCTCTGTTCGTTATTGCTTAGCTTGACTGCTTAGCTTGGATCATTTGACCAAGTAGTTTTTACATACGTAGTCCGACTCCTGATAATTCCCTGTGCATTTAAAGTATTTTCTTCCATCTTTTGGACCACCATCCTGTCATCGAGGCCAGCATCCACGTCTAAGACAAGAAGAAACACTTGCCAATGTGAGAGCGGGGAATGCGTATCGGAATGGACATATTTCGACCGAAACCACGCAAGGGGTATGCTCAAAAGGTCACTGAGAAATCTCTCCGGTAATATTGTGATCTGCGTGTATCGCTGTACGAGCAAACGTGTGCTCTGAGCGTGTGATGATGCTTGTTCAGCCAGTGTTGCGTGCAATACACACTAGGTGGTTTCAAAGGGAAACTGCGATCGTTCACAACACTCGTCTACTGCTACAAGCTAATGGCATTGACTGTACCCTCTGGACAGCGTCGATTCTCTCGCGGAGTTCGACAAGCTCAAGGTCGAACTGCTTCTGAGCCTCCGCCACGACCCTCTTTTCGTTCTGAGCGAGTCTCTCCTCCACGGACACCTGAAAAATTATATTGTGAGGTTGCTGTTACGGTACAGGAAAGCGCATGTGCTGTGCTCTCATGCATTCTGAATGTCAGACACGCTTTTCCCCCAATGAGGGGTGATAACTTGAATAGTGGGCATGAACACGGGCACTCTCGTCTTTTTCCGGGCAAAGCAGTAGTAGTGGTGTGCAAGAAGGATTTGTTGCTGCTAGTGCTGTGCTTAGCTGGCACGATTGATCTTGTCGTTGAGTTTCAAAAGTGCCTTCCGGTACCTCCCTCTTATGTGCTGGCCCGTGAGAGGCGAGTTCCATCCGGGATCACAAGCAAGCGTTGGCTGCAACGGAAAACGGGGCAAGATTGCATCCACGCTAGTGGTTGAAAGGTGGAGGACGGCTGAGCAACGCACGATCTCGCACCGACACAATCTACGACAACGCCTCCCGCGGACCGTACCTGCAGGCGAGCGAGCTCCTTGCTGGCCGCTTGCCTCGCCGCTTCCGCCCTCTGCCGCTCGTGCTCCGCCGCTCTCGCGCGTTCCTCAGCACTCTTCACCCGTGCGTCCCGGTCCGCTTGGGACGCCTCCACCCTTTCCTCGTACATCCGCCGCGTCTCCTCCAGCGCGGTCGCGCCGTCCCGGGTGGCTCTCGTCACCGCCGCCACGGCTTCGTCGGCGCGCTCCGCCGTGAGACGCACCTCGGCCCGTGCCGTCTCGTGGAGGGCCGTGATCTGCTCGGCCTCCGCTTTTGCACGCGCGGCCGCTCTTCGGGACGCGTCAATCTCGGTTGTCTTTCACGGTAGGGCGAGCGGTTCAGAGTCAGAGGTGGTGTTGGGAGGGCGAGTGTTAGAATTAGGAGTAGAGGGCGGACGCACACAGAAACTTGAGCGTTGTTTTCTCTCCTCGTCCACTCCGGGTGTTCATTGTTCTGTAAGGGAATGTGTGCTGGGTTGTAAGGAGAAGGCGACTGACTCACCACAGCACGCAACTCCTCCTTGAGACCGGCGACCTCATTCTCAAACATATCGCGGACACGCTCCAGCTCGCCCTGAGTTACTCTCCGATCCTGTTTCAGTCACAACGCGATACAAAAATCGTTGTCGTCAAACTTTCCCTTAAGGGTAGTTCTAGCGGTCCTCCCAAAGTCTAACACCGAACCCCGTTCTGCGCAAACGTTGGCAGGAAACACAGGGAGCGAGGCTGGGTCGAACGAGAAGCCGACGTCCGTACTTGTATGTGATATGCTGCAGTTGTAAACGGGGGTAAATGTAACAAAGCGTTAGACCCACCCTTCACAGGTAGGATCTAACACTCATCTTCCGTTGAACCTGCGAAAAAATGTTGTTCACAAGTGATCGATTGGGACAAAGACAACAGCGCGCGCACCAGCCCGCAACTAGAGGTTTGGGTCGCTTCAGGTTGGCCGCTGTGTGGTGCGCCGTCAATGGTGTGCACGCTGAGTTATATGTGTTTTCACCTCGTTGGCGCTATCCAGGGCATCCTGCAACCTCTCCGTCTGCCGCTTCATCTCTCTTCTGGTTTCCAGCAGTGTCTTTGAGCGAATGGGGATTGAATGGTTTTCGAAAACGTCATAGACAGGGGAAGAGGGGATCTGGGCGACGGGGGACGAGGAGTAGGTAGGCGGTAGGAGACAAATCATAGAAAACGAAACTTCAAACCCGATAGAAAACGGCTATGAGTTTGCACGGGGTATGCGACGACACTTAACAACGCGGTGTCAGGACTGGCGAACACTACACCAAAGGCAAAACAAGAAATGCAATAGGAAGTAGGCTCTGTGTTTCGTCTCCTCTCCGTCGTTGCGTCAAGGAAACCCAGGCGAACACAAGTTTGCCTGCTTAGTCTTGTCTAATTCCCCTTGTATCGCCTCCCGCCGCTCGCTCTCCCTCTCTAGTTTGTTTCCAAGGCTGCTTCCGCGAGATCTCTCATGTATGAGCTGCTCCTCTAGCTCAGCCATCTGTTTTGCCGAGGCCCCCATCTGCAGCACGGTACAAGACCAAGAGGGTAGCGTAGCAAGGTGGCGGTGTGGAACATCTCGTGGCTGACGAGGCAAGACGTTCCACACAGAACAATCAGCAGACGTACCGAAAAACAACGATATACCAAGCAAGGTGTTTGCAAACAGTCGTTGCCACCTGTCTCTCGAAGTCGAGGCGGTGCCGGGCGGAATCCTGCTTGACCGTCACGAGGTCTTCCTGCCACTTTTGCTCTCTCTCCCGATCAAGACGTTTGTGCGACTGTAAAAGCAAGCCAGCGGGTGCGATTGTGTTTGAGGGGGGTCAATTGTCATATCAATTTTACTTGTGCGACCCGGGCAGTATGCTACACAGGTCAAGCGGGTGAATGGAAAAATGAGTTGATATTTCCTTGTTTGCCGGTTCATGAGTAGGATGAAAAAGCAGCAAGGCCTCGTGTGCACCTACTCACTCACAACAACAATACGCTCATGACCTTGGAGGGTTCAAGGGCGTTGCTTCGGGCTGAAAATGTCTTGTAGCTGTTGGTAGACTTGATCACCACATGACGATACAATTTAGTTTTGCCAAATTGTTGCTGTGTACGAAGTGAAGATACACACCCTTACCTCCTCCTCTATAGCTTGCCGGCGGAGTCGAGCCTCGAGCTGCTCCGCCTTACCTCGCGAAACGTGAAGGTCATCCCACAGGGATGCCTTCGCTAAATTCCCTGAATCTCGATCGCTCAGTGCAGCTTGGATGTTCTCCTGAAGATGGTCGTCAATCTGACAGTGAGGCGTGGCGAAGACAAACTCCCTCAGGTCGGTGAGTTCGTCCACTATTGTTGTGTGTTCTACTACTTGGTAAGGTTACCGGGTATAGCCGCGTTCGGAAGAGCATTTAAATTTCTAAGCAGTATTCTTGGCTTGTTGCCAGGACTGATTTCACGTGCTCTTCAAGCACATACTGTCTTGAAATTCACTACCTTCCGTGAGAGGTGGCCAACGTGTACAATATAGAAGATAGACATTCACACCCTTGAAGAGGCAAGCCTATCCTATATCGTTGTTGTTACTATGTTACCACGGTAGTTAATAGCAGGAACCGGAGAGACGAGTGCAAGGAACGTCTTTGGGGCAGATGAAATAATGCATTGACTTCTTTATGGCATTGGCACCTTCATGTGTTTCGGGAGGTACATTCATCTACGTTGCGCTGTAGTCATCCGAGCCATAAATTTTCCTTCAAAAGGTGGCAAACCCACCTTGTTTCCTGAAAGCTTGACAGAGGTCAGAGAGCTGTTTGTGTCGAGGCTGTCGCGTATCGCCCGCGCACCCTCGTTCCCTACTTCATTCCATCTCAAATCGAGGTCTGTCAGAGTATTGTTTGCTCTCAAGGCCCTCGCCAGGCAACTAGCACCCTGAAACAAAGACAAACCCAAGTATAAGCACGGTCATTGACTCAATATTATCAGTGAGGGACACGTGTATTCTGCTGTTAGCCCTACACACACAATCCCACAATTCGTGATGAGAGGTTGGATGCAGGCGACGTATTGTCAAGAGTATACAGTGGTGTTCTCAAATTTCAAATCTTGGACCTTCCGAATCCTGCAGCAGCCGAATCCTTAACAACGAAAAAGTCACACAAGGCTCGAACGTGTGAGGGATCACGTCGATCAACATGTCGTTCCTATGTTCCCATAGTTTTGAAAGTAGAGCCTTCCTCACTGACACGCAAGTACGTGACAACACTAGGGCGTGACTGCGACAAAGTGGTTGTACCTGGGCAGTGATGTGGTTGTTGCAGAGTACCAGAGCTGTTAAAGATCTATTGACCTCAAGGCCGTCGGCCAGGCGCTGGAGACCCTCATTACAGGTTCCGATGTTATTCCACTCCAAACTCAAGGACGCGATGGAGCTGTTCACCTGCTCGTCATGCCGTGAAAGCGGGTGTTGATATGCCACGATACGTTTACAGTGAATTTTTAACAGCCTACAGAACGGAAAATATCTTTGGTTATGGGGAAAGTTGTCCTTGGAAGTGGATGGCAGAGACTGGAAAATGAAATCGCCCCAGCTAGACTATAGACTATTGTCTATGGACCTCCACCTGCTGTGCATCACCTTTAGCATGTCCCCTAAGGCCGCCGCTCCATCAGCGCCAACGCAATTTCGGTCGAGGAGTACACGCGTTTTGGAGCAGTTACTCGCTAACGCATCTGAGATCTGCCGAACAGCTTCATCTCCGACGAACTTATCAGCAAAGTTGGCGTCCGTCGATCCGTCGTTCAAAAGGCGATCAACCTCGTCGTCCGCTAATCTGACGGTACTTGACATGTTTCTCGCTTGGCCTCCTCTCTGCTATGAGATGGAACGACGATTGACCCCTTGGCGTTGCTCCCTCAAACACTCTTGGAAGTCTAATACATATGAATACTGCTGTACTGTAGATACGCAGACACATGGGCGGGGACATACAATCTTTTCTCATGAATCTTGTAGCAGGATACCAAGATGGATGCTATCCGATATTCACGTGGGCATCGTCGGTTTCAAAAATGCCTACAACCGATCGAAAACGCGTTCTACGAACAACGAACAGCGGTAGATTACCTCGTGACAACAACATGCAGACACGCAGACCCAAACTCCATAACGACAAGCCAAGCAGCTGCAGCAGCGTTGCGCACCACCTTGTTGGACTCCATGATTCTCTATCGCCTGTTTGCCGCGGTGGTTTTGATCTGGGCTCGTGATGGGCAGGTAGGCAGAGCGAACCATTGACGTTGGTAATGCGACGCGACTCATGATTTCTCACGCGCTTGCAGCTTGAAGCGCGGCAGAACCCATGTCGTGCGACCAGCTCGTACAAAGCAGAATGGACCTCTGAGCTTGAGTAGAGGCATCAGCTGTGTGAAATTCATACTTCACCAGTCTCCGATCCCCCTGTTGACTTGGACGCGACGCTGCCTTGTTCTGTTGGCCTTGTTTACAGGCCCTGCTGTCTCCAAACGTTCCGTTAGGAAGCACCAGCAGCGCTGCTTCCCCGCCGTCCACCTTACCACCAACGCAAGCACCAGAAAGAGGACACCCACTGGCGACGATGAAAGCAATAACAACGCAGAAGAGCCGAGAGAGAGCTAAGGACTGCGGAATGCGTAGCACTCTAGCCGCTGCAGGTATCGCGTTGTCGTTGTTCCTCTCAAACCCGGGCTCGTTAGCGGCGGATCCAGGCATGCCGGGAAGCGGCCTTGGGTGCACCACCAGTACGAACCCGAGCTATAGCCTCGTCTCTTGCGATCGTACAGGGTTGGATCGTGATGGACGCTTGCTTGGATGCAGGTGGGTGAGGGTTTAGCGTGCCAGGCAGAGCTGGTGTATCGCTTTTCGCGGACGTACGTTGGTGATAAGCGCATGCGGGTGTGGCGACAACCGACCTTGATATCTCAGGCTACACAAGATACCACACACCCTGGGACCGACAGAGCTCGAATACTCCACGGCGAAGAGGATGCATGATTCAAACGGTGCGTTTTCGGAAAGCTCTCGACGATGGCGCTCCCCTGCCGCCATTGCCGGCACAGCCACTGCTGTTTCTGCCCTTGGAGAAATCGAGCTTTGAAAATCCGTCCAGGGAGTGTGATATCTTGTGTCACCTACGGTAGTGACTGATTTCGAAGACGACCGAAAGAGCACGTGGTCCCAGCGATGACACACGACATACATGCGGAAGACCAGTTGGGAAGTGTTCCGCAGAGAAAAATCCCTGTGTCGCGCAGAGCAGCCTTGTCTCTGCCAGCACATCATGCATCCAACCTCCACACACCTCTCAGATCAAGACCAAAAGCATCCATTCTAACTTCAAGACGAACAGCCGACAAGGGGTGCTCATTTGCTCGCCATTGGTGTTCGATGCGAAATCGGTATAGGAAGTCAATCATGGAGCGACGACACTTGGATTGACACGTTGGAACGCCCAGATCTATCTGTTGTTGGGTTCGTCCTGTCTTTTCTCGTTTTTTCTTGGCTGAAACCGTGCATGCCGCACATTGTGTGCACCATGCATACATATGTATGCCGCGATGCCAACGTCGGTCCAAACCTGAGGCTCGCCGCTCTGCACGGTCTTCATTGCTCTGCATCATCCTTGCTGACATCACCATGTCTCAAAATCCGGTGGGAATAAGCACCGTTCTGGGGCATTTGGGCGTTCAATCAAGCCCTGAATTGGAGATGAGGCGAGATGATACCGCAGTCCACAACGTCTCTGGTCTGCCGTATGACAGAATTGAATTAAAAAAAAGGTGCGACTTTCAAACACGCAGATTCTTGGCCGGAAGAATGACTTGAATTGCATCCTGTCGACAGAGGTCTTCCTCCGACCGTATTTTGCGCCCCGCGAAGACAAATCGTCCGGTGTGTTGTTCAAGTAACAGCTGTACTGTTTGACCTGCTCTCTTTTCTGACGTTTTTACGTGGCCATTCACCTACTGCTGTTGAACAAAAGAAACAGCTCTCGCCGCTTTTGGTTGCAGCTGTTCACAGCGAACAGCAGTAGTGACGTCTTGCGGCAGACTGCAAACCGCACTCTCTTGCGTATGGGCACAATTTTGTTGGGACCCACCAACACCATGATGCTTCGGTCATCGCCTTGCTGAATGCCTCATGCACACTGGAAACGCTACTGTGTGTGCTCTTCCCCTCTCGTGCCCCACCCACACGTACACGCTCACTCCACAGTCGCTCTGACAGCTGTCGCGCCAACGCTCAGTTGTTCGCATCTGGTTGGCACGTGACAACATATGGTTTAACAGCAGAAGGAACAGCTGTCACCGCTGACGTTTTTTCTTTGTTTGAAGCTGACGTCTTCTGGCGGACTGTTCGACACGACAGCCCGACAGGCCCGACAACCCAGAGAGATTCAGTGAAAAGTCTCCTTTCAGCCCAAATCTGTACGTACTTCAATACATGACGCGGAGAGACTACTCGTTCGAGATATAACCACGGTTAGTCGAAGATATTTTGTGAATCCTGAGAAGGCTTTTGTGGCGCGGAACTTGTCCCCGGGGTATCCCGGGGTAATCCAATTCCCGCGACTTTACGCGTTCGATCACCTGTCTGTCCACGGGCGGGCGCGGTATTGTACCGATGAGCACGTGCCCCTGAGAAGGAAGCGTTGGAAAACCCTCGCGGCCGGGTGGGAAAACGTCCCCAAGTACCAAGAAACATGGGATGTTTTTGCACATGTACATACACAAGCCGGTCGCCCCGGTGGTCAAGTGGTAACCTCGAAACCGCTATTTAGTGGCAAAGTCGTGAGTTCGAATCCCCATGGGGTGAATAGTCAATAATACACATTTGAGGGTGAAACCGAAAAAGGCCCGGTGTTTTCCGCCTCCTGCGTGACCCTCGATGGTTGTACTGTAGTTGTACGACAAAAACACTGAAAAGTGTACGGTAGTACTCTACCTACCACTGAAACACGTGTAGTACACCAAAAATGGGGGGACTGTCGCCATAATACATGGGACGAAAACGCACACAAAACACCGGAGGGTTCGTTGATGCCGAGACTTGTACACGAAAACCTCAGGACAACACAATGTCTTCACCTCCTCATACCTCTCTAAATTAGATGAGCAAAACACCATTGTCATACAAAAAGAGTAAGCATGAACAGCACTACGGAGCAGCCCCCAAAGAACAGAATAAAGTCAAACCTAAAACGGAGGGCGGCGCATCCTTGCAGGGAGGGGTCGCTTAGAAATTGTTCAATATCCACTGACAGTAATATCCTATGGAGTTGCAGCTCCCCTGCCATGCCTTTACACCTTTCCCTGGAACTACCGTTCAGATCCTTGCACTAAAATCCGATCACACCAGGTCGCCCTGGACTTCGAATATGCAGCATGGGAACCCCGGGATACGAGTACGTGAAGCCCAACATCCAAAAATGAATCGAAGGCCCGATACTTCATAACGTAACAAGTCACTTAAAATCAAATCGACCTCACGCACACCTTCCAGTGCAAACCTTGCCGACATCTTCGAATGAAAAACCGAAAGCTTTGTTCACGATCCTTTAGGGTAGGAACGGAGGGAGTAGATATCGAGGAGTTCGGGTCAAAACACACTAGAGAGATTGTAGAGGAGGCAGTGACGGCGTGTCATGCGACAACAGGAGGAAGCCTTGGGTTCTGAGCATCCAAGTTTGGCATGACGCCTGTTGCCAAACTCAGATGCTAAGAACCCAGCGCTTTCTCCTCTATAGTATGGCAACGCTCTTACTACATTGCCACAGCGGCTCGGTCTCTGCGTGCTTGCCATATGCGAACTCAAGCAATCAAGGAGAAACGTTGAGCGTGAATGCCAAATTTACATGCTCGGAACCTAGGGATTTCTCCTTGATTGCTGACATCGCCCATACCGCAGTGCCACAGCAGTGACTCGGTATCTTGTGTGCTTGCCCTCACCCCTCCTTACGTGTTTCGACCGAAAGTCCTCCATTTCTACTCCTTCCTACCCTGCCCTGATGTGGAAGTCACTCAAAACGGCCTCATGGACACCTTCCAGTGCAAACATTGCCAACATCTTCAAATCGAAGGCCACGAATCTTCAAATCGAAGGCCACGAATTTAACCTGCAACCCGACCTTTGCAGCTCTCTAGAGGTAACGTTCATGCCGCGGGTTCAAAAGCGTTCGGATAGTTATCTATCGCGATGGAAATGCATAGGTAGAACGCATTGCGGGGGAGCAAAATGATGGAGTTGGACCTACGGCGACTAGTCGGCCTGAAAAACTCGCAACTCTACCGGTGTTATTAGCAACGGCGCAACAAGCTACCCAGGAATACCTCCAGAAAAGATCACGACTTCACCTCCAAAAGTATTTCCAAAACCAAGGCCTGGAAGCACACCAACCTCAACTTAAAGTTCACAAGCAAAGAGCGCGTCACATCGCCCAGGGTGGGTGTGGCATAAAACGCGTTGCGGGGATGCATAGTTGGTAGGAATCGCCTCTCTTGCAAGAGGTTGAGGTTAATGACCTAACAGTTCCTCGCGGGAAGAGCCTCTCGGTTTTTGATTCCATGTTCAACACACGCATCAAAAACATATCGTGATTCTTCCATAATGGTCGCGTGTATGGAACTGTGCGCAGCGGGTTGTTTAAACAGGACCCAGACACGATGTCCTTGCGTTACGTGCTCGAATTGACATTCTCACAAATTTGCCCTGACACCATGTTCACACGCCTCAGTTCTTCGGAGAACTGCTTGAGCACCTCCGCCGTCAAAGTGCCGGGCAAGCTGGGCAGCCCGTGGGAGTACGCGATGCGGACCGACGACGCCGACACGGCGTTCGCTTCCCTGGTACATGCGGTCGAGCGAACATCAGAGGCCACCATGAAGATCGTTGACCGAGAAGGGCACTACATCTTGGCAGAGTTTCCGTCGAAGGTACACCGTACGTAATACGATGGGCCTGCCTTATGTACAGCCCTCTCGCTTTCTTTCGTGGTGGACAGAAACTGTTCCATCTTGTGCAACAACACTGCTGTGTTGGAAGAGCGAGTGGTAGTTACTACGACGCGTAATATTACGGAGTTTTGGTTGACCACAGTCATGCGACTACTGTTCCGCGACGAAGGACTTCATACAGTTTTTGATACCTAAGCCTTTTTTTTGTTCTTTTGCGATGCAAACCAATTTACTTCAGGTGCCTCCTGGCAGTGTTGACTCAGTGGAGTTTTTGGTCAAGCCGGAAGATCAGATTGTTCTCTATCGCTCGGTTAGCCGAGACACCTTGTTCCTTTACCCTCTTCAGCAGCCAGTCTCCGACCAGGGGAAGATCAAGGAGAGATTAGAAGGTACGTCGGGGTGATCGATGTAGAGAGATCGGTCGCTCCTTCACCAAAGTCAGTGGTTGTGAGAGAGATCACAGCACTTGGTGGTTCCGCTTTGCCGTTGATTAGGGCTAGAATGTTTGCGTTCATGTCTATTGATGAGGAACCCAAGTTTGACTGTGTCGATGTCGTTGGTGTATCTTTCCGCAGTCGAATGAAGTAATCTGGTCTTATCAACAGTAACCTCCCCTTTAACCTCTCCATTAACAGTAACCCCCCCTTCAACCCCTCCTCCACATTCTCCGCTTGGACGCAATCTATCCTGTTTTCGATTCCACCGCTTTGCGTACGCTCAGGTATCCGAAAAGACCTCGGATGGAACATGTACACGTACCGCGGAGAGTAGGCGGGTAATAAGAACACCATATCGGACTAGTTGTGCGTCAGAAAATGTTCAGAGTAATACGCAAGGAGGGTTCCATGGACAGCTAGCTGTAGGCGACGGTGGTGCGACCTATGGTGTGGAGGGTAGTACAGGAGCTTGGTGACAAGCGTGTGGAGGGACTTGGTCTTTCCTGGCACATTATGCCACTTTTTTTGTGTAGGACCGAGCTGATGTATGGGACTGCTTGCTCAAAGGGCAATGAGTTGGCGAAGGGAGTCCAGTTGTTGTTGTCGTTGTCTTCATATGGACACCGTTCCGGTCTCTCCTCAGCAGTACCTTCTGACTTCCGTACCGGTCCAACTGACGCGGGCGCGTTCCGTGGTTGTAGGCCAACTACCCAAAGAGGGTAGACATCCAAACCCTAATAATCGAGAGTTCGACAAATGACCATCCTCCATCCTAGCAACGCAGCAAGTAACTGCTGTGAAGGATAGGCACCTCCTGGACCCATTTTTGAAGCCCGATTACTCCAAAACGCGAACAAAGGGGAGTCACGATCAAATGATATATGGTCGGATACATTCTCGAAGAGAGGGTGTGAGTGCCGCCATTTCGGCGCCGTCACAGCAGTTATTCGTAAAAAGTGAACGCATGTTCATCAAGCTCTCAACATCGGTCAAAGGGGGTGTGGTATCTCATGAAACATTAAACATTGTCCTCCAGTCCTCCAGTGGTGTTGGCAACGTCAACTCCGTTAGAACAAGAACCTCGTGGAGTGGAGTTTGGTGAAAATAACCCCCCCCCGTTTACCTGCTCCGAACTTCTTCGCCTCTCCCGTTTCGTCTCTTCCGGACTTTCTTGGATCGACGAGGTACAAACCCGAGCGGCCGGTATGCCATGTCTAACAAGAAATGTAGTCTAGAATATGCAGTTAGTTATCTACCCCCGATCTCGGCTCTGCTGCTGTCTATACTCCGAGGTTAGGTGCCGCGCAACACAACGAGCTGGGACCATCTTCCGCCACCTATCCAGTATCCAACGAGTGACCAATCTCTGTTGACTTGAGTGCTGTCGTTCTCAACGTCAGTGGGGAGCTCTCGCTCGGTGATGAGCACCGCGGTGCCCTGCACGCGCGCAGTTTTCCTCTACGCTAGTGAAACAAGATGAGAACGCCGTGTCTGCCTGAGTACAAACCCGTTCGCGCCGAAACTTGACATACAGTCTACCGCGTGCTCACGCCTCTGTTATAGCAACATCGCCTTGGGGGGGCTATGAGCGCACGGGAACGAGTCGTACTCAGCTTGCTCACGGGGGCCACATGTAAGCAGATAGCCGAAACGAGAAGCATCGGTATATGTACTGTATCAGTTCGTGTGCGGATGCCCTCAAACAAACAAACGCCACGAACAAGTTTTTACACCCCACGAACAAGTTTTTACTGATGTGACGGCACATTTCTCCGTGCCGTTGTGGACCAGAGCGTTGAGTCTCGGATATCTGATGACAGTAACGATGGCGTAGCATGCACACACACGGCAATATTGGATACGTGCTGTGGGTTGCACAAGATACCACACCCCCTGGAGAGGTTGTCAAGCTTGATTACTCTGCAGTTGCGGTGCCGAAAATGGTGGCATTCGATCCATCTCGTCGAGAGGTTTCCGAGAAGGCATCATCTTGTGTTGGCATCATGCTTGTCGTGGAGTAATCGAGCCTTGAAAATCCATCCGGGGGCGTGTACATACGCCTAGAAGTGATGCCAGACCCCTCTGACGCTGGCTCTACTTTCATACTCTATCCAATATACTGACATTAAGCAACCCTCCCGCCGTGTCTAGTTTTTGACCGTTGTTACATTAGTAGAGGACTCGTGTCTCATTTGCGTTTTCTGGTGCTTTTACGGTTTGTTTCAAAATCAGGCCGCGTGAAATGCAGCTTATGGAAAACCCACAAGCAATCAACCAGAGAGCACTCGTGGGCGCTCCGATCCCTGCCTTGTCGAACCCTCTGTCTGGTGTGCCGGCGTGGCCAGTGTCGCTGCCGGCTACCCATATTTTCAAACAAGCGGATGCGCGTGCATGATTAGGAGCTTTACACATACCGCAGTTGCGCAGATTGGGACCTTGCGAGCATGATGCATGTACGTTGGTTGGCGACTACGGAGAGGTCGCATGCAAAATGTGTACCCAGGTCAGTCCACCAAGTTCTGGGAGAGGCTTCTACAGCAGTACAAAGCATGTGGTACTCGTGTTGGAGTATTGCGTGCTGCGCTTTGCAGATCAGACATATGGCAATTTTATGCGCGGGCTGTCAGATTGTGCAGGCACACACAGCACGCCCGTCTGCTCTACCATTGAAACTGGGGGCTTCGGTCTTCAAGACACATTTTGCCAACAAGTCCAGCTTCCCTCGTAATAACCGACCCCCACAGCAGTCGGAGTTCGCGCGATTTTGCTGCACATATCTTTCTCCACGAACTTCAATTCACCATTTTGGACGTTCATCCCTCATTCGAACGTATCACACCACTGCTACGATCCACCCACACGCTGTTCTATCGTATGTAGTAACGACATGCACGAGCATCTGGTGGGTAAGGAAATACGACCCGGCGATGCTCCTTCCACACGTGTACCGCGAAGAATACAGAAGGACGGCTGCCGCTCGCAAAGAACAAAGGTAGGAGTACGTCGGCTTCCTTCTTGTCTGATGAGTGGACAGGGAATGGGTGGACGGGTAACGTTTTAGTAGCACACAAAGACAAACATTAGGAGCGGAGTTTGAGAGAGAGAGAGAGAGAGAGAGAGAGAGAGAGAGAATGGAAAGGGGGAAGGGAGACACAGTTTTGGTATGTTTTGAGGTCCATTCGATCTACTGAACCGGAGGCACGCCCGGTTTGACTACTTGAAACGAGCTGTGGCCCAGCATCTTGACATACATTTTTCTGCCGAGGACTGCGTTTTCTACAGGGTAGTGCTGTGCTGAATTTAGCTCAGCGCTTCTTCCCTGCTCGTACCTCTCCCACCCCGTATCCCGCGCAAATCCCCTCCTCTGTATACCCCTCTCATCCTCTGCGTGTCCCGCTCTGCCTCCTCACACCAACCAAGCTTCGACCGTCCGATTGCAGGCAAATGGAGCGGGCATTTGCAGAGCAACAATTTTTTTCTGATGAGCAATCTAAAATCGACGAGGCGCAGCAACGGCCGCAGCAACGTCGACGATGATGATGGCGTGACAGCTAGTGGAACTTTTGGTGCTACTCTAGACGTCACAAGCCACGGCTCTTAGGCATACATCCGCGTATCCAAAATCTAAGGCGTTGTGTGTCAGAGGTTTGCGTTTGGGTTACCATAAGCCTTAGTTGTGCAGGAATAGTACACCATCGAATACGATGGAGACGTAGCTGTGCGCCTGAGCCAGAAAGGACGGCAAAGATAGATGGCTGAGAGGCGTCATCATGCCCATGAGCAGTGTCAGCATGTGGCAGCGCCGCGGAACATGTGTTGCCTTTTTGGAAGGTTTGCGATTGGACCCACGGCTGTGCGCTCAAATCGCCAATAAATCTGCTTTCGTGCGACCGAACGTGAAGTTCAGCACATGACCTTGCATAGACGCCAACACTCCAAAGCCCACGCGAGAAATGAGGGGAGCTCGAACGACCTCTCTGACGAGTGTACTCTGCTCGGGCGAGCTAACCATGGGACACGCGTGAAGACCATCCCGACCGCCGGCGTCCTTGAACCTCCGCCCTTGTGTATCACGAGTGCGGTCGGCAACTCTCTAACCCACTGTATGCGTTTCCTTTTTCACATTCTCCCGGGACACACAATGGCAGCGTAGGTTCCTTGAAACTTGGCCATTTCTGACACGACCCCGTCAATGTTTTGGTAGATCCAAGGTTTAACAGTGCGCCATTGTTTTTTCGTCTGGGAGAAAATTCCGTGCTACTGTCGCGTTACTTGGCCGAGCACCACCGGATACACCCGCGAGCAACGGTACCTGCTGGCCCTAATAGCGCATAGTTCGAACTAATGGGCAATACTGTGACGGAAACAAGTCGTCGAACTATCGAGCAGTGTACCGCCCGTGGGAGGCCAGAAGGACTGTTTTCCTCCAACGTCTTGCACACGACGCTCGAGGCTCCAGACCATATCCTGAACATGGACCAAATCCACCGCAGTGCGAACACGACTGTGTGCCACTCTCACAGGCTTGCCATTATTATCTTCTCCAACAAGAGACCACGTGCCTTAGCCGCACGCCATGCGCACTGAATAACCACGGCGGCGGTGGAAATGTGTTGTTCGCACAAGTTTTGCTCCGGCATCCTTTTTACGACTGCTTGTTCTCCGTCCGTTGCCACGTTCTCGCCGACACTATCACCAACATGTTCATCTTCGCCACCCCCGCCCGCCACTCCTGCCAATAACCCGCAGAATCCATTGTCGCTATGGACACGGGACAACGAAAAGCCTCCTTTCTTTCGTCCGCCAAAGCCGAACCCGAAAGGCTGAGTCCACTGGCTGCAATTTGTTTCACGGCAGACATAAAACGGGTGCTTGTACTCCTCGTCAAAGTACTCGACGAATCGCGCGTTCACCGCGGCGATAGTTTGCGACCGTTCGAGACGAGATCTTACGACAGCCTGTAGTTTGACGACGGCCCTGAGAAGCACAGACTCTTGCTCTCCCACCTCGTCTGCGGTTTCTGCTTCTGCCTGAGTCCACCATAGTTCTTCTTTTCGCGGTAGCATTGGTGTGCTATCCTCCTCGTACGCCGCCTGCCCCCCTTCTGCCGCAGCCCCTAGCCCCTGCTCGATCGAAATAGCCACAACGGAGCGACGCCCCCTTGGAGAAGACAATGCTTGGTCATCACTCGCCCGTGCCGACGAATACAACCTAGCGTGCGTAGAAGTAATACCGTCTTCGTTGTCACTGATAGCCGTGGTACGTTCGGGCACATTTTCATCTTCTTCTGCTATCCTTGTTGTCTTTATTCCAGCTTGTCTTGGTTTAAGCCTTCTACTTCTACGTCGTTCCCGCCATCGCGCCACGCAACCGCGCACTAGAGTCTGCATTCGGATGGCAGCGGCATCCTCCAGTGCAAAGCGTCTCGTCAGCCTAGCCCTCGCGGTGAGCGAGGCCGCGTGCAGGGTCTGAGCGAGCTCTAGTTGCTCGGTCAGCTGTTCGATTTGGGCGGACAACGAAGAAGTGGAACAGGACAAGCTTGCTGTGCTAGTACAATCATGCTGGCGCCTCTCGAAATTGTTAGAGACTCCCGGCGCTTTATTCGCATCACCTCCACCCAGCTTGCTCCCGAAGGAATGCTTGACTATTATTGCATCCCGACTTTGCCTAACGGCATCCTCCGCGGTAGCACTTGAAGAGTCGGTGGCGGCGGCTAACAGCTCCAGCTGAAACAGACGCTCATTTGCACAAGAAGTGGCGCTCTGAGCCGCTCGCACAGCCGACTCCGCTTTAGCCAGGCATTCTTCGCGACACGGATTGTTGCCCTCGTTGAGAAGGCGTGATAGCTCCGCCGCTCGGTTACTGGCGGACCGAACAGCGGCTTTCGCAGACGCAACGCTGATGAACGTCCTACTCCTGCTGTTTTTGTGATTGTTGCAAATTTGTTTCAAGGAAGGGTCCCCGCCGCGGGAATCGGCCTCCGTCGCTGCACCTTCGCCGTCGACGGGAGCTTCCCGAGGGGGCTTGTCTTCGTCTGGGAGGGTGGTAGCACCAGCGGTCATGGCGGCGGCACCTGTCGTAGCAGTTCCGTCGTGAATGGGAGCACCCCCCTTGCGCCCTACTTTCCCTCGCTCTCGCCAAAAGACCGCCACGGTTCCCTCTCCAGGCGCGGCAACGTCGATACCGACACCTACATCAACACGGCTATTACCACCTAAAATACTACTCCCGCCAACACCAAGACTGGATCCTCCAGCACCCCAGAACCACCCACTCGGTTGTGCTGCTGCATTCCCCGAAGCCTCGGCCTTGCTGTTTCGAAGGTCGTGATGCACGCACCCTCTTGCCTTCGCCTCGGGTGGGACGACACCAGTGTTGTTGCGAAATTTTGGGTTTGTTTGGGCTGTAGTACCGTTGAGGACGACAGGAAAACTCGACGGTGAACAGACTGATTGGTGCGGTCTGTACAGCTCGTCGTGCTCACGGATTGTTGCGAGAAACACATCGGTAGCACTCTCTGTTGCAATGCCTGAAGCTCTAGCTAACGACGCTGTTGTTTTCTTGCCGGTCGTTGGCGGTGCCGACGATGACTTTCTTGGTGCAGAGCTCAGAGGCCACTTTTTTACAAGTGCGCGCCCAGCATGTACGATCTGGCGAAGGTCAGCTTCAACCTTGGCGGCGGCCGCTTGGAGAGTTGTTCTGTTGCATCGCTGCAGGTCTTGAAGCAAGCACTCTTGCATGTCCGACTTCTTCTGCCACTTTCAATTTGTGTCGTGTCCGGTTTGGGGAGGACAGGAGCGTGTCGTGGCTGGATAAAATGTACGGGGTGTCAAACAATGAACACGGCGGTTGATCTTCGCCCGATCCTCTGCCATTGTGTTTTACTACAAGTAAAATCCTAAGCTAGAACTCCCCGAATGAAACTTGCGCGGAACAACTCGCCTAAAACGTGTAGCACACACTCAAGACTGCAGGAGGGGCACACCGCTACTTGTGAACGATAAATGGCAGCAAAAACTTTGTGAGCATTGAAAAAGAGCAATCGTTTGCCCTCGCCCGCAACAAGAATTGAACACTAACAAGTCTATCTACGCAGATGGTGCAAGTGAACGTCGTGCCGAGCAAAGAGAGACAAACTGCCCGAATGATACAAGAATACTGCTGTACGTAGGCCACTTCCTTAGTCAGGCAAGTGACATAGACTATTTTTATATAGAAGTATAATAGTAAGGTGAGGACTGTAATTGCCAAGCCCGCCAGAGAGGAGAGAAACAAATTGTAGTATGCTCTGACAATTGATGTGATACTCACTTGCTGGAGCTGATGGCGAATATTCTCAGATGATTGCCGTCTCCGCCGCAGGGATGTTTTACCCTCTCTACGTGCCTTCGACGCTACGGTTGCTGTTCCCCGCTCCTTCCCGGTACCTCTGTACACCATGCAGAGCGACGTGGACAGGGTCAGAGAAGAACGCCGCGAGGGGCGAGCAGCGCCGCAATGTCTGCAGTACAAACAGCCCTCTTCCACCCAGCAAGCACAGCCGGAACACACTTCGGTCATCGCCATGCGTTTCGCGCACGAGAGTGAGAGAGTAGGAGATATATGATCACTCGGATCTATACATCAGCACATCAGCTGAAACGGTGCGCACCTGCGCTGTGCCCGCTAGCCAATCAAATCGCTGCTGCTGTCGTTGATTACGCCGCATCTGTTCCGTGACGATGTGGCGATGTGGCGATGAACGTGCAACAGCTCAGTGAGATGTGTGAGGTGGTTATTTCGCTACTCCTCCACTTACCACCAACATGTTGCCACACCCACGCAACGGGCGAATTTGTTCGCATTGTCGTCAATCCGGTGGAGTCTCCAAGGAAATCGTCCGTCATACATTTTGTGCACATGATTTGAACGTCACCCTGCAAGAGAGGGGACAACCGGTTTGGGTGGCGAGTGTCTCTCTCCCTCTGTTTCACAACTCTCAGCTCTGCGCAGGGTGTGTGCCCGCGTCAGACACAAACACACACACCCGTCGGAGAAATAAAGTAAATCGGCAGGATCAGCACCAGCTGGAGTCCGAACCCGTTCTTCGCTAGGTGGAAGTTGAATCTACAGCATACGGGTCCAACTATCGTCATGTCTTGGATACCGATAAAAAACACGAGTAAAAAACACATGCGAGTATCTGAGGAAGAACAATGAACAGAGTTTCGCGATACTCGATTCTCGATACATATCCAAACGCGTCGAACAATCAAAGACGAACACCGGAGATTTCCATACGGCGTACGATGCGCAACCAGAAGTTCTGCAGATCCCGATGGCGTCTCCCTAAACTTCGGACCCACACAAACAGAAAGACTCGCCCACAGAATACAAGACGCTCGCGCTCGGACGTGGCAGATGCGGCGAACAGATCGGGGTGCGTCGAACGCATCACTACTGCTGTCTGTGATCGACTACCCTCACGGCAAAGCAATATTCAGCTGATACGGCAGAAGTTATAGGATTCCCCCCATCATCGCTGTTTTTGTGCTACAACAAGTGTTGTTGTAACATGTAGTTCCGGTTCACAGAGTTCCAGGATATCCTACAAAAAACACATCGCATTCGAGATGCTATTTTTAGGTATCCCAGACCAATTCCGAGTAACAATCTTTCACACCTATTCACACTTTGCACACCAACAGCAACACTTGTTGCACGGCTGCCCATACTGCTGTCTCTGTCTCTTCCACCTCATGGGTGAAGCCCATCCAAGACTCGTACTGCAAACCAGCAAAGAGCACAACACCCCATGGGACAACACCAACCCATTTACACTATACAACCAACAAGCGTAGAAGAGCGTCATGCTTGAGATCACATCCACGCATCCTGCGTCAACATTTGTACAAGGACACAAGGACGCACCTCAACTATTTCTCCGGAAACAGAGACCCGGCGGCGAAGGCGCAACAAAAATGAAGCGACCAGACTAGTACGCCCCCTCTTCGGCCTGATACTAAATCAGCCCAACCTTCCCCCCAACGCTTCCCGCGGCCGCCAACCGCTACCCCCAGGATTATCAGCCTCTTCCGATCGCAATTTCCCCCGATCCCGACCTCCGTCGTCGTCCTCTACTCCGTCGTCGCCGCCGCTCCCGCCGCCGTCGCCGCCGCCAACAAACTCATAGTCTTCTTCCATCCCCCCTCCTGGCAAGGCTGTCCCCGCCTCGGTTGCCGGCGGCGGTGGGGGCGTAGACGTGGCGGTCGTGAAACCCAGCCCCAACCCTAGCCTGCTCCTCATGCCCGCTGTTTTCCGGCGACGGTACCCATCAGGTGCCTGTGCTGATGCCTTTGCTGATGCCCGATCCCTGCTGCCGGACGCGCCCCCTCTCGAGCCGTGGCGATGAAACCCGGCACTCTTTCGCTCGGGAGGATCCCGCGGCATTGGCAGCGGGACGTCCACCATTGGGGAGGAACTGCTTTTGAGGAAATAGGACCGTTGCGCGGAGCGTTCGGCCACCCAGAGATGAAAGAAGCACGGCACGGAGGCAGGCACGCAGGCAGGCAAGTGGGTATGGTCGCACACAAAGATCCGTTTCACACTCGAACCGCACACAAAGCTACCAACCCACGAGAGAGGATTTGTTCCATCGCTGTGTCAACCGCGAAAAAACGGTACATGGACGCTAACCCAAAAGAAACGAAACGGCGGGGCCTCTCAATTCTCGATGTAATCGTTCGATGTTCTGCAACCCTTGGGGAGGGGTCGAGCGTTGCGATGCCTGCCATAGCAACCAACGTGTGATGAGGTACTCTTCATCGCGGGCCTGAACTAACTTGTAGGCTCTAAAATGTTTGCAGGAGGGACGCGAACAAAATGCAAAGCAGAGATACATCAGTCAATCATAAGGTGAAGCAGATGGAAACCAACCATAGTGCAAATAATGGACAGCACTACAAAAACACGACGAACCGGGGGGGAGGGTAGCATCGCCGCCACAAACCCCGCGAGATCACCTTCGAAGCTCTGACATTGCGTGCTGCTGTAGCTCCCAGAGATTGAGAAGGAGTGCTTCCGCGGGCCACAGGCTATCCACAGGGACGTTAGCCCCTTCGACGCAGAGATGCACTATATCGCTGCAGCGCGCAAAGAGGCACACGACGAAGTCATGCACAACGTGAGAAAATAGTATTTAGAAAAGTATAGAAAAAGAAGGCCGTCAGAGTCGCTGGCGCAAAATTACGACGAGAGAAGGTGAAGAAGCAGAACCAGGCAACAAAAGGTAAAGGTGGGTCATCTCCTTCTCGCACCCTTCCGCGAAAACTCTCTCCGCTTGAGCGAGGCAGCTGCGCATGGTGCCCTCCCGCACCCACATCTATCACCAAGCCACCGGCGTCGCCACAGCCATCGTCAAGGCTGCCTATGACGGCGGCATGACGGGGCGGGCCGGCGCAATTTTCAACCGAGCACAAATACCGGATGCTGTGGTGTACCTGCCACAGGCGCTACCAGAGCACGCGGAGGAGGACGCAACGGCAGCGCGAAATCTCCAAACCACACCATCGCAAACCAATCAAAAGCCGCCTTTTCTTATCTAGTCTTAGTACCCACGCTTGCGTGAAAAACAAAAAACATTCGGCCGCCACCCACTTTCGAAGGAGATCCAGCGCCGTGTCGAAAGCACCCATGGTTTTGCACACCGCAGAAGCTGCTCCCATGACCCCTATCTCCGCCAGCTTGGACAGAGGGCACAAGGGGTACTGGCTAGATCTTCTTTCACGACATTCCAGGAGGAAAGGACAAGGCGCGCGCATGCGGGGCGGGGGGGGGAGCGTGCGGGGCCGGAACAAAATGGTGGGGTTCAGGAGCTGTGTGGAGCTCGATCTTCGGGTCGGAGCAGCCTTCGGCTAGCCTGACTTGTCTTGAGATCTCGAAGCCGTGCAGCAAGCGCCCAAAATCTCGTCTTCGCCTGCACGGCATTCAGTACCACGAGCTGCGGCGTAGAAACCCAGTTCGGCACCCCCCGCATATGCAGGCGCAGGACCGCTTACAGACGGATGCCACTACGGTAGTGGTCCTGGTATAATGCCGGCACGATCCAGCCATTTTCACCGGCATCATAACGGGCAACCGGCAACATTTCAGAGTGTGAAACAACTTAAACATTCCATCTGTGCCAGACCATTTCACCGGCAATATGCCGGGACCACTATTACCGTATTCACATTGTTGCTCCAACTTGACAACAAAGAGTATTAGGGAGAGCGTCATTTCCACCGCTTTGTATAGTAACACGACTAGTTGTGCTGCTGCGACCAGAGCGACGCATGAAGCCATGTCCCCCCGGCGCCGACCGCGACGACGGCAGTGGTACGGCCGCGACGCACCCGCGCACGATCTACAAAACAGTCATGAACGCTTACTTTTAGAACCCCTCCTTCGCCGTTTCAAGACTTGGGGCTATCCAAACGCCCGCACACACACATTTTCTTAAGGGCAATTGCCAAGATGGGGTATACCCCGCGTGTTTGGGCACAAAACGGGGTATTCTTTTCTTCGGTGCCGGGCGCAACGCCTGACGCCGGGTAGGTGCCTTCAAACCGCCTTCTAGCGATTCAACCCCATGCGCCAGGTCCTTAGAAAGGACGCCTAACTTGTTTTTTTGCTTTTCACCCACAGGAATAGGGTTAACTAGGGTTTGGAAGAGGGGAGATAGTCGGGGGACCCCATTTTGTTCACGAAACCGCGGGGTACGCCCCTCTGCTAAAAGTTTATCAAGTACCCCAAATTGTTCACAGACGTACCCCATACTGTTCAAGGCATACCCCTTTTTGTTCAGTCGTGACGCTCGTGCAGACTGTCAAAATGGCAACCAACAACCAACCGCAGACCACCGTACGTGTGGCGACAGAAGATGCTGGGGTATGGTGGTCTGCGGTGCAACATACAGAATTTATTGTTGTCTGCGGCGAGGCAAGGAGACACAAGATACAGAGATATGGTGGTCTGCGCTTGGTTGTTGGTTGCCATTTTGACAGTCTGCACGAGCGTCACGACTGAACAAAAAGGGGTATGCCTTGAACAGTATGGGGTACGTCTGTGAACAATTTGGGGTACTTGATAAACTTTTAGCAGAGGGGCGTACCCCGCGGTTTCGTGAACAAAATGGGGTCCCCCGACTATCTCCCCTCTTCCAAACCCTAGTTAACCCTATTCCTGTGGGTGAAAAGCAAAAAAACAAGTTAGGCGTCCTTTCTAAGNTGTACCCCGTGGTTTCGTGAACAAAATGGGGTCCCCCGACAAGCTCCCCTCTTCCAAACCCTAGATAACCCTATTCCTGTGGGTGAAAAGCAAAAAAACAAGTTGGGCGTCCTTTCTAAGGACCTGGCGCATGGGGTTGAATCGCTAGAAGGCGGTTTGAAGGCGCCTACCCGGCGTCAGGCGTTGCGCCCGGCACCGAAAAAAAGAATACCCCATTTTGTGCCCAAACACGCGGGGTGAACCCCATTTTGGAAATTGCCCGTCGTTTAATTTTGCCCCCGTTCCAGTGACCTTGATTTTGCCCGCTGAGACTGAAGTCTTTTCATTTGGTCAGCCGGTAAGTGCGATTGATGCTGACAATAAATAAAACACACACACACACACACACACACACACACACACACACACACACACACACACACACACACACCTTTCTCTCGGCGACGAGTCGACCGAGATTGTCGCGTATCGTGTCGACGCCGCCGGGAAAAGCGGGTGCGGCAGAGACACGCCGAGGCAGGACGCCACAGAGGCCACGAGGCGCGCCACCAAAGTCAGGGAGGCCATCAACACTTCTGCGGGCACCTCTGCAGAAAGGAGGAGGGGAGGAGGCGACCCAGAGGACCGACGGCACGAACGACAAAAACAGAACAGTTAAGTAAGACACCAAAAGCGACACCAATACGCAGAACGACACCAAAACAACACTGGGGCCCCCAACATGCGCAGAAAACAAAGGAGAAAAGACATGAGCACACGGGGGAGCGCGCGCTGGGGGGCGGGGGTCGTGCCACACGTCTGGGGCATCTGCCGGCAGCACGGTGCACGGATTCCCCGCTTGGAGTAGGGCTCAAGGCGGAGGATACTTCCCATTTCTTCGCGCTCGTGCCGTCCCAGGTGTCGACCACTATTTCTACCAAAGAGTTTCTCCTTGTCTATGGTCATTTTTTCCCTATTGTGGTTGCTCTCTATCTACGCGAAGCATTGGCGCGAAAGTTGTCTCCCGAAGGTTGAAAAAGTCGCGTGTAACAGCGGGAACCGACTCCAGTCAGTCGTGGTTGCTCAGCTTTTCTCCCGTTGAAGGACAACTCACGGGGGTATCAACAGCTTGCGGAGGAGAGAGTAGAAAAAAGCTTCTTGAAATGCCTCGTTCACTTTCATGGCAAGCCCCATGCCTGCGGAAGTAGCACGAGGCCATGGCCGTGGCTCAACCGGGCCTACACTGGGGAGAAGGGGCTAAAACACAACAGTCCCGCGAGAACACAAGGCGTGAATTCTGGTGGTGGGACTCTTAGTTTTACTTTCCTCGTGTAGGGGAGCAACACCTACCTGTGCCGTACTTTTCTCGGATGAAGCACGGTCGACAAAGTGCAGCCGTTGCCAGTGGATGAGGAGGTGCTGCTGCTGTGTGAAAATACGAGCTCCAGTTAACGGTGATATACACCCCAAACAACCCAGCCCTCTGTCTGACAGGGTCAGTCGTGTGCACAAAAGCCCTCCACACACCGCTGGTAGTTTGCCCCGTCGCACTACACACGACTGGTGCATTTTCATCCGCCAGCACGCCAACGGGGTCGACGCCAACAAACTAGACACACTAAACACCTCACCCTCATCCGTCCCGAGCACTCACGGCTGTAGTCCCCGTTGTTCGGCAAAGGGAGGTCCACCAGGGTACTCACGCCGCTGACTACCTCCCCTGCGCCGCCGCCCCCGGCCTTCGCCACCCCGCCGCCCGGCGGTGGCAACCTAATTACCCCCCTGCCCTCCTCTCCCTCCGCTGTCGACGGCGCGGTCCCCGGAGAGTGGTCCGCTCCCCCCCAGCTCTTCTTGCTTTTCGGCGGTCGTTCTCGGCGCGGCGGCATCGACGGATCCACGGGGAGGAGCACGAAGAGCTGCACCACCTTGCGCCAGCGCCTCTGGCGGAGCGTCCGCGCGGCGTCCTCGGCGTGCCGCCTCAGGCCGACGAGGAGCGCCTCGTTCATCTCCGCCGCCGAGGCCTGCTCGCGGGACAGGTGCGACTCCGCCGCGGCGAGCAAGTCGCGGTGATGCTTCAGGGCGAACGCCGCGCTCGCTACCTTGATTCGCTCTGCGGCCGCCGCCACCACCGCCGTTATCGTCATCGTTTCGAGGCAAACACGCGGCGGGCGCAAGGACCGGTGGTCGTCGTCGTGAACATCCCGGGAGAGATGATCGGGGATAAACTAATGCACCGTGTGACCGCGTGTGACGAGGACAAAGGTTTAGAAGAGATTGGGTTGATATATTAATTTTTCCAGCGGCAGAACCAACAGAATGTGTACGAAACAGGGTCGGCAGGGCGCGGAGCGAAGGGGCCAGGAAAGGTGAAGTGACTGGACAGCTCTTCGCAAACGTTTCCCAGGAAATTACAAGCAACAACTCTTAGGTATCTGACATCGGCAAACACAAGCCATCATTAGGAGAGTGGTGTTTTCACCGCCTTGACTATTCCCACCAAAAAACACCCGTAGCGTGGAGATAATGTACACATTGGGCTTTGTAAGAACCCTCTTGCCTTGGCACCGTCCCAGGATCGACAGGCAACGAATCCACCCATCCCGACCTTTCCCCTTCCTTAGAGCTCAACTCCGCCATTACACGAGTAAACACGTAGCCCTCGCGATACATCAGCCCGCACTCTCTTGCTCTCACCTTCCGCGACCCTCTTGGCAACCTCGCGGACATGATCCTTCAGTCGGCACTCATCGGCTTCCTCCTTCTGCAGCCGCGCGTTGTGCTGAACGGCGACTCCACGCTCCTGCGTGCCAGCCAGCGTAGCGGCACACGAGAGAACAAACGCTTTCAACACCGTCGCCGACTTGCTGGAGAGCGTAGGGCATGTCGGTGTATTTTTCTTCGAACAAAGTTTTATATTGTGTCACACTGCACAGCAGAGCCCTCTCGGTTGCAAACACATGTACATACACACTCCGCATCTTTGTAGGACACGCCAATTGGGGCTGTAACCAATACTCGGGCTGCAACTCCCACCCCAACTTGCCGGCGTCGTGCCAAGTTGCCCAAGAACAACGAACACCGCGACTGGTGACACAGCAGTTGACATTTTCAAAGGGGCGTGGGTGTGCGTGCGTGCATGCAGGCCCACCAAAGAGCATCGCATTACACACGGAAGCTAGACGCGTCATTGTTTCACACACCTGCGCCGCGACAGTGGCCACCTCGCGAACGCTCTCCAGTGCCCCCAACCGCTTGGCTCTCTCCGCTCTCCGCCGCTCCGCCTCCCGCGTCACGCACGCGCCGCACACCAGGTCCCCCGCCTTGGCGTTGCAGACTCCGCACTTCCACCCCCGCCCCGCTGCCGCCATCGCTTCGCTTCGCGGCCGCTCGCCGACTGGTGAGGTGCTGGTGCTGCGGCGCTTTTCTACGAATGACTAGCCGAAGTTGGGGCGACGGCTTCGGGTCTGTTTATAACCAAATGAGGCCGGCAGCGAGGAGGGACATGAGAGGATCGGCGACGTTCCGAGCGAGGACTGAGTATGGTCCAGAGTGGAGAGAGATTGTCGGTGGTCGATTGACTTAGACTGTGCATTGACAATTGAGTAGTCGAAAGACCGGGGATTGACAACTCCATCCCCCCTGGAATGTCACAATTCCTGCCGTTTTCCCTTTCGAAAGCTCTCTGCTCAACAGCATTCCTTCCTAAGCCTTTGCTCCATCGGCCGTTTTATTTTCGATTTACATACACAAACTGTATTTCCATACTAATTTCAAGTAATTTCACCTTCTTATTCTCCGTCATGCAAACAAAACGGCCGATGGAGCAAAGGCCTATTTCCTTCCTTCAAAATGAACACCGCAAACCAAATTTGCAAATTTGTGTGACCCCTAATCGGAAGTCGTGGGGTAGAGAGGCCGTAGCAATAGTATTCAAATGGGAGGCGGAAAACAAGTCCTTGAATACTGGTGCTCTCTCGCTCTGATTTCAAGTTGAATTCTGCAGCAGCAGCAGCAGTATTAATAGGCGACAACGGTGGTAAAACGACTGCTGAAACTGGTGCATCTGCTGTTGACGCGGCGGGCTGTGTGACAAACTATTGACCACAATTAATCATGCAGCCGTTTCCTTATGTACCGCTACTCCACCGAAACGCCAGCCTACAAAACTTGACGGCGTAAGACTCGTAACAGCAGTAGTGTATCACCCAAAGCTATAACGGAGTAAACTGCAACATTAGTGTGAAAGCATCGACCGTTGAACATGTTAAGCGCACTCAGAAAATAATAATGCTTTCTACCGACACGAGACCTCTCGATCAGAGGAGAGTAAAACGACCCCCCATGGAGGATGTGAGACACAGGTACCCCGGCCTCTCAGACGCGCTTCTCTTTCCTGCAGAGAAGCTTTGTACCAGCACATATCATGCCATTTGCACTGGGGCTATGTAAGAGCGCGAGGTCGCGCCGCGCACTACTGCTGTGCACACCCGTGGGGTCACGTCGAGAACATTTCCATTCCACGATCAATGATGCGAGACTGCACATAACCGTACACAAACCTCCTCGGATCCTTCGCTGGGTCTCCGCTTGCCCCCGCTACGTTGGTCCCAGCCCCTCTGTCTGTGTCTCTCCCTCCCGCAGCTTAACTACGATAGTCTTTGCCGCAGCCCGCTGTGCTGTGTTGTGCCTCCGCAGCTGCTGCTAGGCTGCTGCACCCCCCCCCACCCCTGGCGCCGCCTGCGATCTGTGATGTCCCTCTGCTCGGGCCTCTGCTCACCCGCGTCGAGGTCGTTGACACACCACACCCACCCGCCCCCGCGTATCTGCCTGGCATACCGACCTTGTGTCAGAGAGATAGGGCGTGTGGTGTGTGGCTAGGGTCCACCGTGCCTACACAACCGAGGCTGAGGGGACGATGCAGGACCAATACTTGCCGCCAGACGTGGTGAAGAGCACCTTTCGGCGATTGCGAAGCAAACCCGATAACAAGGTGGGAAATTTCTTCTTCGAAAATGGAGACAAGGTTCCGGGGGACGCGCGATCGGTGTGTTGTCGTTGTCGTTGTCACTCTACGCCGACAGCAATCGGGTCGTGTCTCCTTCTGTTGGGAAGCTTTCAACGAAGCTAGCTGGCGTAGGTACTGATAATGCTGTTTTTCCTTTGTCGTCTGTGCCTCTACGGACTACTTAACAAACAGCAGATGGACTTGGTTCGTGCGCAGACCGCAGAGACAGCAGTCTACTGCCGTAGACTAGATTAGAACATAGAACCAGAGCCACAAACGTAGAGAGCGTAAAAGACTCACACACACACACACACACTCCTAAACGAAGTCGAGTGCAGGGTGACAGTCTTAGTAGACACGTGCAGTTTTCTTCTGTTATTACTACGGTATCTGTCTTTAATCCTGAGAATAGCGTAGCTCCCCCTACGACGCTCGGTCCCGGGGTCCCAGATAGTGGACTATAGAAACATTTTGTGTTTCCCGCCGCACTGAGACTGACGTCTTTTCATTGGTCAGCCGGTTAGCGCGGTCGATGCTAATAATAAAAGCACACACACACACACACATCTTGCGGCCGCTCCCTCTTTTGCTCGGCTCTGTGTGGAGGACGCCGACACCTGTAGTGTTGCCCTTCGGTTTGGTGCTGCTTTGTCTAGTGCTGTTCGGGTCCTTCCTCGCTCGGCGTGGGGGACTCCGCAGACAGCGGCAACCGTTTGTCGTAGTCATTATTGGCCATCTCACTCAACTCTGGATTGCAGAGATCCGAGCACAACAGCAGGCGTACGGTAATACCGTATTTTATCCTCTTGGCCAACGCTATGTTTTATGCTCAGGGCGTCCTTCACCCGTGGTCGCTGGGGAGAAGTTACAAGTTGTAGATTCGGAAATCTGTCCGCTTCCCCATGCGATGCAAAGAACGACGACCAGTAGCACAGCAGGGACGTAGTCTATGCAGAGCTCCAGGTAAACTGTCTTGTGAAGGCGAAGTCCGCAGGGCGTGCATGTTTTCGAGTGCCGAAGAAGGCCCGCCCGTTGACGAGCAAATCTGTAGTCAATCAGTCAGTCCTACTGCTACCGCTGTCCGGGGGTAAGTACAAATGCAGCGCGTGAGGAACGGCTTTATATTCCCAGCTACAGAAGACTGCTGTGTGTATCAGGTACAGCACTGCTATACCGTTAGTCTGGGACAGCGTGTTCCTATACGAACTTCTGCTATCAACCTTTGGCATAATCAAGGTTGATATTCTTTGAGAGGTTGGGCCTTCATGCTGTACGTACGGAGTTAATATTTTCATGGGCGTCCTCGGCTCTCGTGTACTCTATCCGATTGCTGGAAAACGTCGTAAAGTCCTCTTTTCCTTTGTGCGAGGGGAATCCAATTTTTTCCGACGAGAATCTTATCACACAGATGATCGGCTGATGAGGAAGAAAGTGATCAGCTGCTCGTGTGTACACAAATTCGACGTCAGGGTCGACACGGGAAAGGAATGAATGGCTGAATCCTACCTCGCGGTAAAATTGTAGGCACGCACTGCAGATGGAAGGCTGAGAGAAACAGAAACAACACCCGCGTGTTCGCTCCTGAGGCGCCTTCCACCTGTGTCGCCATGGCTGATGCGCCCACAATACGCGAAGAAAAGTTGTATTGTCTCACGTCTGGAATGCATGGGATGGACAGGCATACACACTCGGCGATTTTTGCACCTGCAATGCCACCGCTGTAACGGCAACGTGGACTTGTGCCCCCACACACGCAACAGCAATCGTTTCGCCCGCTTTGCGTGGAACAACCTTGACCCGATTCACACCCAACTTGTGCACTCAAAGCTGCTGTCAAACGACCACAGCATCGATGAGCATATCTGTATCCCCCCCACACCCCCCTCGCCTGACCGCTGGTGTCCCACCTCCCCGCACATCGTTGACCCGGTGTGTCTGTCATTCCTTTATGCAAACCCAACAATTCTCAAGGTTTGTTTCGACTGTCCGACCCGGAATCCCACCTGGGCGTCGGCGACGTACGGCATTTTTATCTGTTACGACTGCTCCGCGGTGCACCGGAACATGGGGGTCCACGTGACCTTCGTCCGTAGCATCGAGCTGGACAAGTGGAAGCCGTCGGAGATGGAAGTCATGAAGCGCGGCGGCAACGGCAACGCGCGTTCCTTCTTCCGCTCCCACGGGGTCACCGACATGGAGAAGTCGGAGCAGAAGTACCACTCGCGCGCGGCGCAAATGTACCGCGCCCACCTCAAGAAGGTTCGGTGGTGGCTTTCCTTAAGAGTATCTCGCAAGTCTTGGGGGGGACATTTTCGTTCCCCTTGGCAGTTTTATCGGCTGGTGCTGCCGCTGCCGCTGCTGCTGCTGTTGTTTTGCTTCGGGACTTGCACAAATTCCCCAGCTACAGGTACACATTGATTCTTTTAAGCACGAGGTGTAAGGCAGGGAACAGGGGTAGTAGCGTGCAGCAAAACTTTGACCGCCAAAACGTCGTCCCGACTCGTATCCCTCCTCCGTCCTCGTTTTTGCTGTACGCCCATCCATCTGGGGGCGCGGCTGGTATCATTAATCGATACGATACCGAACCTGGCAGGCGATGGCCGATCCCGGCGTCGTGACCCCCCCGCAGTCGCCGAGAGAGGACCCGGTGGACAACGTCGCCGACGGCCTGGACCGCCTCATGGAGGACATGGACGGCAAGCCGGCGGCTTCGGCGCCAGCCAAGGGCTTCACGAACGGCGGCGCGGCAGCCAAGGGCCTCGCAAATGGCGGCGCCCCCTCGGTGGACGCGGCAGCAGCGGCGGCGAAGTTCGCACAAGCCTTCCCCTCGTCGCATCCCGCCGCCCCGACCAGCGGGTCGGCAGCGGCAGGCGGGCATGCCGCTGCTGATGTTCCCGCTCCGCCGGCGGCGCCGGTCAAGCCGTACGAGCCGAAGCCCCGCGGGAGCCTGTCGGTGTCTCCGCCAACGGCTCCAGCGGCGGCGGCGGGCGCGGTAGACGAGCCGAAGGCGACGCCGGTGGTGCGACTCATCTCCTCCAAGTCGCCCCCGCCGCGGATTCGGAAGGGCGGTGCGAAGAAGATGGGCGCGCGGAAGCTGGGCGCGATGAAGATCGGCAGCGGAGGAGCGGCGGTCAAGCTGTCGGGTTTCGAAGACACCACCACCGCCCCGGCGGCGGCGGCGGCAGCAGCAACACCGGGAGCGGCGGGGGGCGGAGAAGACGCGGACCTCGCGCTCGCCCGGAAGCTCCAGGAGGAGGAGGACCTTGCGGCGGCGGTGGCCGCCCCGTCGTCCCGCCTGGCGGCCGCCGCTTCGGCGGCTCTCGCGCCTCAACCGAGCAAGAGCAAGGCCGCCGGGGCCGGCGAGGGCGGCGGAGGGTCGATTTACCGTTCCGCGAACGATTCGAGCTCTTCTTCTTCCTACGGGGGCGGGGCGGGGGGGGCTTACGGGTACCGGAATGGCACCAGCGGCATCGGCTCGAGCAGCAGCAGCTACGGCAACGGGGGTGGGTACGGGGGTGGCGGCGGCGGCGGCGGGTCTTCGTTCGACAAAGGCAAGTACAAGAACGTGAAGGGCATCGGTTCGGACATGCTCTTCGGGGCCAAGGACGACGACCCGGATGAGCAGGCGCGCCGGGCGATGAAGAACCAGGAGTACAGCCAGTCGGCCGCCATCAGCAGCGACATGTACTTCGACAGAGAGGAGAACGGTGGGGGCGGGGGGGGTTACGACGGCGGGGTGGGCTTCGGGGACATGGCGGACCAGATCGCCGCCTCGGCGGCGGCACAAGCCGCGGGAAAGCTGAAGGTGAGGATGGTTGTTTTTCCCGCGTGTTTTTTTTTTTTTACACGGGGCTGTTGTGTTGCTGATTTGTTCACGCTGGTGCTTGGCAGCGACTCTAGGAGGGTGTCCGGTCGGAGTTTTCCGGCCGCTTTCGGGGAATCGGAACGTGGAAGTTTTGCAAGTTTTTCAGAGTGCGGACTGCTGTTATCACGGAGGGTGATTTCGTGTTTGTTGTGGTCCAGGGGGGCTGTCGCCGCGGAGAGGAGACTGCTCAGGCTGTGTTCCGGTTTCCTGTGTTCATCGACCTACATGGATGGTCGCACCCGTTTGCCTTGTGTGTGGGCATGCTGTGCTCCGTGGCCCGTTTTTTTTTTTCGCTGTTTACATACGGCGGTGGTACAGCCCGTCATGTTCTCATCTACGTTACGCTGTACCTTCCCGTCGAAAATGTAGGCGTCTATGTGTCTGCATGTACCGAGTAGATAAAAACCCCCAACTCTTCTCTCGCGGACTCCCCCCGCGTGCGGCCCTCGTTATGTGGCCGCTCCTCTTCGCCCCACAGGACATGACCAAGGGTTTCTTGGACGACCTGCAGAACATGGTCGGTTGAAGCTGGACACGGAAAAGCAAGCCGTGCGTGGGCGCGGCCGCCGTGTTTGCGCTGCCGCGCGACAACTCAACCCCTTGACAGAGCAAACGCCTCCTGTCGCCATTAACGTGCGTTTGTGACGACGAGACTGTAGAGCGCGCTTGCACGCGGCGGGGGAATGCGCAAAACGAGGGTGGTGGCTCGTCGAAAAATGCACCCAAAGGTCAGGAGGACGGTTGGAATGAACCGAGTGTGCCGGAAACGTTCTAGTCTAGTACAGCAGTTGTTGTCGGCCAATATTTTTTTGCTCTTGCTTTCGCCGAAATGTTTCGAGGAGAAGGAGAGTAAGCAGCCATCCAAGTGGCGTGTAGTCCCGTGTTTTGGCCAGAAGTAAATTATTTCGTCAGCTACCTGGCAATATTTCAAAGGGCGCGAGCCCAATCCACTCCTCACGGGGAGCTTTCGTCTTCCCGTATGCATGCTTGTCTCGCAAAACGTTTTGTGCCCGTGTGTTTCGTGCGCGTTGCCGCCGCAATAAACCTTTTTGGTTTGGTCCTTGGTTGTTTGGTTGGCCTCGTTTTAGCGACAGAATCACTTGCCTGTTGAACGCGTATCTAGAAGGAGGAACGCGAACGACTGCGTTGGCTGAATTAATGCGGGTCATGTTGTGTTCGTTACAACGCGCATCAGGGCTGCGCAGTTGTTGTTTGTCGTGAGAGCGACACGCCCATATCTTGGAAGAATACGGAGAAAGTCCGGAATCGTCGTGCCGATGTAAACGACAGGCAAACCTTTCGCTGTGGTGACGCTCGTTTAGTTTTGTCTTGGGAGATTTTCGATGATTTTTTTTGGAGCTGTAAGGGGGGGAAGGGTTGCGTTGCAAGGTTACGAAGGACAGCTATCATTTTAGCTGCATGTAAGCTATTGTCTTGACGCTCGGTGTCTGTTGTGTAGTGCAGTTGATGCGGTCGATGCGCAAGAAGTAAGATAGTTTGGAAATCTGGTCTTGCACCATGACCTAGGTGGATGCTGGTGTCATCGTCCACAGGGGCGGCGGGACAAAAAAAAAACGGCTAAGAGAGGCGCTCCTGCTAAAAATGTGTGTGGCGTCAGATTTGTCTGCTTGTCATATTTGGGCCGCTTAGCGCTGCCTCTACGACTGAATTCGCTGTGCATGGCCCTCTATTTGCAGCCTCGCGGACGTTGTGATGTGACCCACGCCATTGAAGCTTGTACTATATACCGGCCTCGCCAGAAACGACGTTAGACCACTGTTTATGGCAAAAAAATCTTGATCTTCCTTTCTTTCGACAAATGTTGACTTTTTCGACCTTTTGGGCAGTCTGCCTCCCGAACGAGTTCGAATCAGCTGTTCGACCTTTGAGAACAGTCACGGCTTTGGCTGAGATGTCTACAGTTCGCCTACATGTTTCGCCAGGGTCCACGTTTGATTTTTTCAAGGTGCGCAATTTTCACGCAAGATTTCTCCAACACCAGCTTTTGGGCAGATCTTGGCCCAAGATTTGCTCCGAGGTGGCCTTTCGGCCGAATCTTCAACATGTTGCTCTGCAGGAAAAAAATCAAACGTGAACCCTGGCGAAACATGTAGGCGATCTGTAGACATCTCAGCCAAAGCTGTGACTGTTCTCAAAGGTCGAACAGCTGATTCGAACTCGTTCGGGAGGCAGACTGCCCAAAAGGTCGAAAAAGTCAACATTTGTCGAAAGAAAGGAAGATCAAGATTTTTTTGCCATAAACAGTGGTCTTAGAAAGAAGAGCAAAAGTCTCCACTCGCAGTGATATCCTCATTTTTTTTTATGAGGACACACACTTGACTGGGGAGCTACTAAGCTCCTTCTGTAGACGACGTCTGTCTTTGAAAGGTTCCAGGGTCGTGGTAGCTTTGACCCCCTGCTCTGTTTCGAGACTCTGCCTGTACGCATATCGGATACCAACTTCTGGTTGGTGTGTCTGTCATCGGCATGGCTCCATGTTTGTTTGTCCCCCTTTTCCCCATCACAGCCCTGATGACTATTTAGTTCACAGCAGTCCAGAGGGTTTAGTGTTGCGGTCGGGGGGCCCGCGAGATAAGCCACGTACACGTTCAATTTTTGCACCGGATGATGTGGCGTGAGATGCACATGATGGGTGTATCATACATTCATGCTTCTCTTTCGCGTTTCCAGGTTGACGGATGGATTGAACACTAAGGCGGCTGTCGATTGATCACTATTCGCCGGACCAAAGAAGTGTGTGCGTGTGTTGATACACCCATAGAGAGGGCTCATCACGAGGGGACCCTTTTTGTGGAGATGCGACTGACCGAAAACGGTTTAGTGTAGCCTTGACCACTCACAGCAACATATTTCATGGACTTCGAAAGAAAATGCCTGGTCCTCACTCCAGATTATTTGGAATGTTTCCAATACAAAAACAGCAGAGGCCCCCCCCGTGATCTTGCAAGCAGGGATAATTCCTCCCCTGTCACGACTGGCTGCACTCGGGAGGAGCGCCGTTGGCCCCACCAGCGGCGGGAGCGACCTCCGCGGTTCCTTTCGCGGCGACCACCCCCCGTCCTTTCTTCGCTATAAATGGGCCAGTGCTACTGCTGCCGCCGCCGCCGCCGCCGCCGCACTCTTCCTTCACCGCGCTTGCCCTAGCCTCTGTCTCTTGGTCGATGATTGACTGCGGTTTTTCATACGAGATGATTAGCGTACTCCCGCCGTTGTGGGACATCTTTGCGCCAGATCTTCGCAGGGCGAGGCCCGCCCGAATGAGGGACGGGACTTGGAAGACCTTGAAGTACTTTTTGTTGGTCGTGCGGAGGACCAGCGTCTGCTTCTCCTCGTCCACGGAAAGGCTATACGTTTCCTGTTGGGAGAAACAGCAGCAGAAACATGCACGCATACACAGAAGAGTATCCGCGTGCGGTTGTTATTGGTTTTTGTTTCGCACACTTGACTTGTTGTTCGTTTACTTCACGGTAGGTATTTTCGCACAGTGCACATGATTTTTATTTGTCGCTTCGTGCGTGCGATTCTTTGAGTCACGAGTGGTACGCCTTGCAACCCTCGTAATAACCCTATTTTCATATTCTACTACTTTTGTACTGTAGCGAAAAGTAGATTGATTGGTGTGTGTCCGGATGATGAGCAGTGCTTCATGGTGCATGGCGTGGGTGAGCTAGCCGTGAACTCTGTCCACACAAAAAATATCTACTTCATCATCTTCGCCTTGCTGTTGGCAGGCAGTGGACATTCATGTGTTGTTTTACCTCGATTGAAAACTATCCGCTATTATTCCCCCGTTCGCTCGACTCTATCCCGCCGTGTACATCTATCTGTATCTTATCACCACTATGCATGCATTGTATACCTGCGGACGCAGACATGGAACAGTCTACAGTATGCCTGCAAAAAATCTAGCTTTGACTTGAAAACTGAAATAAGTACGGAAATTTTGCTCGTGGCGGGGGAAAAGTGGAACTGCTGTTGTTGTGTTCGGAATATTCTATTTTTTCAAGGCAATTCGTTCTTTTCGGTACTGGGTGTTGTTTGTCTAATGTGTATGAACGAAGCTTCATGGTTTTACTTGTTAAAATGCCTACGCCAATGTTGCCTACACGGCCCGGCAGCAGCAGCAAAGCAGCGGTCAGTGTTGTCAAGAAGAAAAAGTTTTCGGAAAAAAAGTTATCTCGACACTCGGATTCGAACCAAGGACCAACAGATGACCATGATCGCCTCTACAGTCTGTCGCTCTACCGGGCTGAGCTATGTCGAGATGTTCACATCCTCAAATGTTCCATTCCACTTCCATACACCCAAAACCATTCCCAACGCAAAGCAAAGTAATCTATGTATGGTGGTGTACATCAGCACCGATCAACTGCTTGTCTGTCGTGCTGCATGGGTTGCCGAACTTCGGGTAATCGCCAATATTTTGCGACGCACGGTACGAATGGGCACCAAAAAATTATGGAAGAACTGGTGATGAAAGAGTATGAATACGCACCGGGACTGACGACGTCGTTTCGTTCCTCAGCCGGTTAGCGCGGTCTACTGTATGCTGGTACCGGAAAAAGAAATACCACAGCAGTAGCACAGTAAACACGCGCACGCACCTCTGGGTAGGGCAGATTCCGGATGTGCCATTCCCATGATTTTCTGGTGTCTCGCGGGTGGAAACAGGGCTGAAGGAAATACGACAAAAAAACAAAAAAGAGTAAAAAATAATGCATGCGCAGCCGAAGCAACAAGCTGAGCAACAACGACAACGACGCCAGCAGGCACGGCGCCCGAGGAAGGGGGATGTCACTGGGTCAGTGCTCTAGTCTCTGCGTTGGATACAATCTAGGCGCCGCGGCGCACACGTTGATTGGACCCCACCTAGTTGTTACGTTGAGAACGGCTATTACTTTTGCATTTATCGTGTACTTTACAATCTACGCGAATATTTCAGTGTCGACACGAATAAGGTGAGGCCGCGACGAAAAGATCGCATGTTCATGTCCTCTCTGGTACCACTCAACCCCCGGGCAATGAGGAACCCGGGCGAAACGGCGTGACGCTCCAGCTACAAAACGATAACCTTCGTCATCTATCTCCAACCTTTGAGCACACCACCATGATTGAGTCGCAATCAATCAACATCGTGACGCACGCATACTCAAACGCATACTTCTGAAGCCTGCCGATGGGAGGAAATCTGCGCTCACGTTGAGAGAGCTTGGCTGCAGCACCTCAGCTGTGCCCATCCCGGACGGCTCCTTTGTTGGCATGGGGTCTCCTATCTCGTATTGCCAATCTGTGACACCGCCGAACGGTTTTGTAGACCTCCATCGTCGACCTTGAGTGACCAGCCGGGGAAAGCCCAAGAACACGATGGAATTACTACCAAGCACGTTTTGGCTTAACATGTATGTCTTTCGGTACAGCTTTGAGCGCGGATGGAGGGGAGTTTACTTAGCATGCAAGCACGATTCCGTCTAGAAATGGAGTATTGCAATATGTCGTCGCCTTAAAAGGGAGGGAGGACAACCTGGTTCTTTCCTCAACGACTGGGGTGCTGCTGTTCCCGGCGGCCGTGAGGAGAACACATGTACATCGGATCTACCATGATGTTGAAACGGCTGCAGTTGGCGTGTGAAGAAGTTAATACTGCAGGTGTCGCTCATCCCGAAATGACTGGCCGCTATTCTACCAGGCAGGCGGTAGTATTGTTGTCCCTTCGCCAGTATCTGGCATGGCTTCGGTACGGCTCCAAGGGCCCCCCCTCAGACCCTTGCACCCACAATATCAGCAGGATATCTCCAGCGCGCTTAGATGGGGAATGTGTTGCAGAGCAGCTCACATTCGAGGTGTTGGGTCACGGCATCATACTCCTCCAGCTGCAGGGTAGATGTATGGGCGACGGGAGGCAAACAAGGAAAAACAGAACTAATTTTAGGGGTTCTCGACGTACGGGACGAGCGTGTGAGTGTGCACCATCTTGCTGCGCTTCTCAAGACAAGATAGGAGGTCTCTTGCAGCATCGGGATGGTTGGGGGGAGCCCACAAGCACAGAACCTGGTGCGAGAGACGAGACTCGGAATGATCTAGGAGAAGAGGACTTCGGAGAGGATGTTGACTCTTAAACGCAAAAGTCACGATCAAAATATTGTGGGTAAACGAAGAGTTATCGAGGAATCATGGAATCCAATGAACACCACAATATACCCCAACCATTTTAGTCTCCCCCCTGACCGGCGGTAGCTGGTGGGCCGATCCCACGCGTAGGATGCAGGTGGTCTCGAAGCGGGGGGGGGTGACGGTTACGCTGGTAGGCGTAGTCTAGCCATTAGCAAGGTTTCGTGCCGCGTAGATGCATTTTACGTCTCCTATTCCTCGAGAAAAGCATGCCCAACTACAGCTCGTGGAAGGAAGGGAAGTAACACCTGCTATGATCGAGAAAGCGACTCGCGGAAGTCTCGTCCTGAATTTACATAGTTGGTAATCACAATATTCGGTGGTTGGAGAGAACGCAAACCACTGAAAGGTTGCAGTATCGAAAGTGGACTGAACCCGGCGGGGGATGAGGCAGCATGGTCCGTGTTATGGTGATGGGGGTGCGGCTCATATACAACTTTGCGATGTTGTGACATTGTTCAGAGTTCGCACAACTTTCTCGTGGAAACTCCTGTAGCTTCCGCAATTTCTGGCAACATTCGCAAGGCCAGTACTCACACGGGAGAACCAGGACGATAGCAGGTAGGTGTGTTCCTACAGCACGGCAAGAAGCGAGACACGTTCTAACGTGCTAACATGCTACACGACGAATGAAGGTCACCACATGAGTACGAACAAAAGGTCACTACGTTCATGACGAAGGTTAACACACATCATCCGTACGTAAAATACCTGATTCTCTTCAATGCATCTTTACTGGTAAATCTAGTCTATTTGTTCGCGTTTTGTTTCTTTTGTTGTTTTGCTCGGCCTCACGTGTCGAGAAGAGGGAGCGGCGGGCGCTGCGTGTATAGGCAATGTGCAGTATCTCCCTTATCGATCTGGGTCGGGCATGTCACCTGCTGCGACATATACAAGACTAGTATTAGTCTTTGTTTTGAGGTAATTGTTGGCATACAGCAGTTGTAAAGTGTAGTCTAGTCTAGAGTGCCGTTGATTTTTTGGGTCTTTTTTACTCCTCTCGGCGATTCTTTATGTTGAAGTTGGTCTGGTGCAAAGACAACAACAGCCAACATAACCACTTTTGGATAGTTAACCTATGGCCATGGCAGGCATCCGCAGCAGTTAGACCAGAACGGATCTTAGCAGGTACTGAGAATGACAGGACCGTTCTAAAATGTGATGATCCCAAACAAGAAAACACGTGTCAACTAACATTCCATATTGACGGCTGTTGCTTTGTTTTCTTCCCGCGGTCAACCGGAGGACAAAGGAAATAACTCCTGTGCAATAGAACACCTCGTTTTATTTACATCCTATTTCTACCAATCGTACGGTTTGATTCTCCTACTGAAGGGCTCCGATCGGGGCCACACCGCAGATTTTACTCCGCATCCATGCATGCATGCATGCAGTGAAGTTTTATTCGACGGGTAGACTACTGTAGGTGTCAGCGGTCAACAGATAGATATCCATCCATCCAAATGTGCATTTTGCGGTACATCCTCACGCCATTTCAATGAACAGGAAAACCCTAGTCTTTCGCGAACGAGTCCAAGCTTGCCTCGTTCGGGCTGCTACCCTGTGCCTGTGCCGGAAGCACCGGATCCTGTGATGATACATTCTGCCGGATTTACTGCACCTACAGCAGTGTATTGAAAACTCACCAGCTCGGTCCCATCCGGAAAAACTGTCTGAACTCGATATCTCTTTCCAGCCTTAATTGATGTCCTGATACCTGGTGGGTGACTCTTGAACATTTTAGTACACGCAGGCCGACAATCGCAGATCGGTGTGTACTACACTGCTGTGGTCTCTGTTCTCTGCTCTCACTCCGGTGCAGACAACAAACACAAGCAGGATGCGGTGCAATATGTGTCGCTTCGGCGTGTTGCCATGTAACGGCGATGCAGAGAGCCGACGAGCCGATAAAGTATTTTGTCTGGTTCGCGGGCAACTTATTTTTCTACACTAGTTTCTTCGCCTCTCCTACGTGATGTGGCGAAATCTACGTGATAGACCTTGGAAGCACTCCACTTTCGGACGCGAGCCTACTGCAAGCTACATCAGCGCGCACGAACAGATATTACGCCTGGGGGGGGTAAGCGTTGGTGACCTAGCGAAATGATTGGTGTAAAGAGACGAAGTCGGTCACCACGACCCCCACGGTGGCTCCGACCTGCGGGTGCGGGTAGATTGCTCTTCGTTCTACTTTCGGTCCAGTGGCGGCCATGTCGAGCATGTGAGAACCCATACGTCGTACACCAGAATTTATCTGTGGACGAACTGCTGTAACCCAGGACGCACTCTGATGTAGTTTGGTACCTGCTGCATGGCTACCGTATCGAGGAGGTTACGGGCACACCTACCTACGGTGTTCAATCATCGTGATGTTGGGTGTATTTACACATTACCCAGGCATGGTTACTTATTTACACGTACACAGGCACGTAAATCTTGCTTGATATCATGCAAAAGTGCGTCCGTGTTAGTCTACAGGGTGCGCTGAATCGCCTTGAGTGCCATAAATAGTCAAAGCTGGCCTACACCGCTGGGTCCCGCAGCACCGATGCAATTCTAATGCTGTAGACCTCCTTGTCAAACCAAGTAAGTGGGCGGGTTAATTCAAGTCTAGAAACCTGCCTTGTTCTGTTATACATGATGGCTACGCGCGTTCCTGGGATAACTTACATAGAGGGGTCATGTTCAACGGATAGGACCATGTTGGGGATGTGGTCGGCTTTTCGATCTCCGCGCACAAATAGTGCCCTACAACACCACCGCTGAGGGCGGCCGCGCAAAGAACACCCCCTGCCTGTGTTCATTCATGAACTTTGTTTGCTTTTTTTATGGTATGCCTGACCCTCACGAAGCCAACTGGGCCCAGATCGCTGGCGATCGCGTGCAGAACTACGCAATACCAGACGGAGGCGGGGCAGCCAACCCGCTCTTCTCTCCGAGGATGGGAATGGCGTTAACGACCACCAACACTACCCCGGTGAGAAGCGACCAGCCTTAAAGAAGGTATGGTTCAAACCTCTTGGAAGAATACGCCGATTTCCTGTCTGCGCTTTTTGTCTTTCCGAGTCATTTGTGCATCATGAACAAGGCATAATAACAGACACAGGCTATATCAAATTCCATCCAGCGCCTCAAGGTCCGTAGCTGAGGCGAGTTCCGTGCTGAGAGTTGGTTTTATCTGGTTGCCTCCCGTCATCAACCCCTTATGTACTCTTCTCGCTGTCTTTAAAAACTTGGCGGGTTTCGGGAAAGATGTGGACCCCGCCTTCGTTGACCGACCTATCCTACTTCCTTTGCGGTCTTGCGGCCTCCCTTCATACTCAACCTTGGGTTGTTGGTATATTGTGGTTAGCAAACAAGGGAGAGATGGCCTTTCAAAGTTGGCTGAATACCTCCGGGCTTTTGTGCACAATGGGGTTTTGATATCTTGTTTGCGCTCCCCAGGCTTATGCGTACGACTGTACGCAAAAGTGGTCGACTCTAACTTGCGCGTTCATTGCCAACACGCTGATCACACAACGGATAAACCCACACCGTCCAATGAACAACTCATTTTTGGCGTAGTAGCATTTCGAGCCCATCCCCGCTCTCTACGACTAGAAACTGTCTGTTAGAGATTGTGCTACCCAATCTATAATCTAAAGAAGCAATAATCTCCAATACTTCGTCTTGTGCCGATAACCAATCCTTCGGCCGCGCGCAAAACGCACGAAACAGGACTCGACAAACGACTGGGGCTACCTCTACGTGATGGGAGGAGATAGCTTCGTCAAGACGACCGACGAAGACGCCGGCGAGCGCGGTGGGGGATACACCAACGACGTTTGGGTCACGGAGGGCTCCGGGTGGGAGATATACTCGGAGGGGAGCAAGCCGATGATCAAATCCACCATGGAATGGGACGAGGTTAACCCCGGTCGACTGCCGCCTGCCGGTGTGACCTACGAGGACTGGATCATATGCCAGGTACCTGAGATGGAGAGGTTGAAGGGGCGGGGGGGGGGGGGGTACTC